CTACAGTGTCTCGTGTGACTCGGTCACTTGGCTCTCCACCTCATAATAAACAAGTCAGCTAGGACCAGTAATGCTTAAAGTTCCTCTGATTCCTGATTTGAACTCTTCCCGATTCCCACTCCAGGTCAGATGAGAGAACATTTGACACACGAGCTCCACAACAGTTGCCAGTGACAATTTCCCCCACATAAAACTACCGCATGACGCGGCATTCTAGCAAATGAAACGGGTGCTTCCTCATGTCTCACCTGCTACTACAACGCACTGTTTGTACTTCAGAGAGCAGAGTGGGAAAAGAATAACTTTTCATGGCAATTTCTGTACATACTGCTGAAGAAATGTCTAAGAAAATACAGCAAGTGCTAGCTGTCAATTATTAACAACCTCACAACACAGGGCACTAAAAACAGACACAACCTCTCATTCATGAGGTCTTCCTTACGCAATGTGTCTTTGACTCTCTTGTTCCCATGTTTGTAGCTCCTCAAGTGTTGCTGCAGAATTAGAAAATAGATGGACACACATGGTGGTGTAGCACACTAATCCTTCACCAGCAAGCACCGGCATCCCATATAGGCACCGTGTTTTGGCTGCTCCACTTCAGATCCAGCTCCCTGCTAATGGTCTGGGAGAGCAACAGAGGCTGGCCCAAGGCCTTGGGTCCCTGCACCCGTGTGGGAGGCCAGGAAAAAGTTCCTGGCACCCAGCTTCAAGTCACCTCAACTCTGGCCACTGTGGTCATTTGGGGAGTACACCAGTGCATGGAAGTGCTTCTCTCTCCTCTCCTCTCTCCGTAAAAAGCTGCCTTTCAAGTAAAAACAAATTTTCAAAACAATTAAGATACAAAGATCAGTAAAATCCACAGAAGATCCCAAAATACTCTGTGAACCAGTTGTTCAATTTCTTCCACTGTTTTTCACTAAGGATGCTACCAAGCAATGCCAGCAGCTGGCTTGAGGTCCGGTCATTTCCTAGACTCCTGTTTTTTAACTGCCCATATAAGACAGGTATTCTTGCATCTAGGTCTCCCAGAATATTCTCCAACTTGTGTGAAATCTCACTCTACCCCTAGCTGTCATGCTCCTTTTCAAGTGTACTTTAGAGTTCTTTTGTCCCTAAGTTAAATCTATCCATGCTTTAACTATTTGAATAATTTCCAATTCTTCCTATCTTACAGTTCTGGCCTATACATTGCTTAATATAGTTTTTTTAAAAGTTTTTTAGATTTATTCCACAATTTTTTTAATTTGGGCAGAGAGGAAGATCTTCTGCCCAATTGTTCACTCCCCAAGCGGTCACAGCTGCGCTGATCTGAAGCCAGGAGCCTCTTCTAGGTCTCCCTCATGAGTGCAGGGTCCCAAAGCTTTGGGCCTTTCTCTACTGCTTTCCCGGGCCACAGGTAGGGAATTGAATGGAAAGCAGAGCCGCTGGGATTAGAACCGGAGTCCATATGGAATCCTGGCACGTTCAAGGTGAGGACTTTAGCTGCTAGGCTGCTGCGCTGCACCCCATTTTTTGAATTCTCTACTGCATTACATTTTGCTTCCTTAGGAACTCAACTCATACATAGTTTGCCAATTCACTATGAAAAGGCAAGAAACCTGACATTTTTATATGCAATTAATATGAGCGGATAGGAAATCCTCAACTAAACACAAAGACCCCACAAATGAGACAATACAAATTCCTTGTCTTCTAAATATGAAAACCAACCCCACAGGTTCCAAATAGACTTGTACAGTGTCGGAAGCCATACATGGTTTTAAGCAACATCATCAACCATGGCTCTTCACAACACAGTACAGGCACACCACTAAGTCTGTTCCCACAACCTATGTCCGCAGTCACAGTGGCACAATCTCCTACAGGGAGTCGGAACATTATCTCGGGGTCAGACATTGGATGTGATGCTCAAGAGACCACCGAGACCATCCACAGCCCACAGTCACCTCTGCTTCCAGTTCCAGCTTCCAGCTAATGCCCACACTGACGGGCTGCAGAAGCACACAAGTGGGAGCCAGGCTTCTGATCCAACTCCCAGCAAATGTGCTTGGGAAAGCAGTGGAGGATGGCTCAAGTGCTGGGTCTCTGTTAACCACGCGGGAAACCAGACAGAAGTTGGCCATTTGGGCAGTAAACCAGTTAATGGAAGATCCCTCTGTCTCTCCCTCTTTCCCACTCTATGGTTCTGCTTTTCAAACAAACAAACAAAAAACTGTATAAAAAGAAAATTAAGAAAAAAAGATTAGTTTTTGCATTGGGGGAGGGGTTTTAAAAAAGCACTTGGATTTCCGCTCCCCATGTGGGAGTCCTAAATTGAGTTCTGGGTTTCAGGTTTCTTGCTGTAGCCCAGCCCTGGTTATTGTAGACATCTGGGGGTGTGAATCACCGGATAGAAGATTTCCCTCTTTTTCTCGCCTAAGTAAATAACTCTTAAATGATTTCAAAAATTCTGAAATAAATTTAGCTATTATCAGTGAAGTGGGAGAGAAGAAAAAAGAGGACGATAATGTAGAATGCTAGATTCCAGGTTGGGAGGAAAAAAAATCCTTCACTTCTACTCAAATGACTCCTCAAAACAACTCAGCACCTACAGCTTCCCTAGAGTCTGCTATTCACATAGGTGGCTTTATTCACGGAGAACAAAGCGTGTCTGAAAGCACCCAACCCAGGCAGGTCTCCTGTCCGCAACAGAACACTTCAGCTGCTTTTGTTTATTATCAGATGAAGTTGCTGGCTAGAATGGAGACCAGATTGTTCAAAGACACTTATCTTTGAATAGTGAATGAGAGCGCACCACTGGGGTAAGATTTCCCCACTCTTCAAGAAAAAACGGCCAGTTTTCTTCCCAAGCTCTCCTTACCAAGTGGTCTGTTCACACAGCCTACTTCAAACACTGTTTTGTGATCACTTCTCTCCAGCTCCCCTCTTGAGTCAGCCTAGATAGGAAGGTGAGTTTGCATCTCTTAATGTCCATAGGATCCCAGAGTTCCCTATTCTCCTATTTGCCTAAGCACAGTTTACACGTGGGTTGTGCCCATATTTGCCTGTATATGGAGGTGGGACACTGGATGTGTAAGTCGCACAGGGAAGAGGTACAGCCTGGACACAGGGTGGGACAGAGAAGAGCCAGCAAGCAGCCTAAAGACCCCTGGGGCTGAGGAGCTGGGGGGGCTGAGGGTCAGGGGAAGGTGTACTGAAGGCAACAGGGAGGTCACTTTTCTTAACGTTTGTCATCTTTCCTTGGGTTGCTTCTGGTAATAGATGTGTAAGCAAGGTAGAGAGCCTGAACTCTCAAGTATACTTGAGCATACACCAACAGAACTCATGCCCTGGCAAGGAATTAATCAAGAGAATATCTTTCCAAAAGACTGACTGTGGGCAAAAAACCTTAGAGCAGAGATAACCAACCCAGCCCCTGGGAAGTGTCTGCTGCCTGTCAGGGCTCCAGGCAAGTGGGAAAACCAGACGTCCACCCCCTTTGAAGAACTGCCACCAAAGAGCCCTGCAGGAACTCCACACCAAGAAATGGCCACTGTGAGCAGGAGTGGCGCCCGAGAAGCAAGGGCTCTGACAAGCCCCGCTGGACTCCCACACGGCTGTTATCCGTATGAAGTTCACCTGACTAAACATAATGACTTCTCTGCTCTTGTAACTGCTGTATGGCTGTAACAAGTTCCTGGAAGTATAAAATTATCCTAATTCCAAGCAGGCAAAAAAAAAATTTTTTTTTTGAACAATGTTCAGCTTAACTCCACAGTAGGCGGTCAGAGTGCAGGAAGACGTTTCCCTGAGCTTGCACATTGTGTTGGCTGGAGACGTGATGGGCCGTCCAGGCTCCAACTCCGGCCAGGCAGTTCCAGGATTCCCCACCAAGTCTTCCCAGAGGACTGCCGGCATTTTCACTACTTGTGCACACAAAAGGGTTCCCAGGCTGCCCCTGCCCTTCCCTAGGCAAGCAGAGCAATGCCTTTCTCAACAGCTCTTTCGTAAGATTGTGTACGGACAAACACAGGTGTCTACAAAACAATCTTGGTGAACTTTGCACTGAATAGCCCAAGGGACCGCAGTGATCTCAACGCTCCACCCATTGTCTCAATCAGGAAGGTGATATCTTAGCTGCCACAAAAGAGGGGGTAAAGCAACCGGTACATATGTTCATTAAACATTTGAACGGCAAAATGAAACCCCTGCATGAGAGAGAAACACATTTTTTTTTTATCACAAGGCACACAACGTGGGGGAAAAAATAGCATAATCAACCTTCACTGGGTTTGTTCAGCAGTTGACAATGTAAATGAATGGAAAACTGCTACTCAGACATTGCAAGCTTCGTTCTCCTTGCGAGATGCTTTTAGCAAATGATAAGGCAATATTCCCACGAGTGTGAAAATGGCACTGGATCCTGGCCCATGATAAAGGAGAAGCAGGATTCCACTAGACACCTCTTGGTTTAACTGTCAGGCTTTCGGGAAGCTCTTTTGTAAAAGAGGCGCCTCGCCCAGATACATGAATACAACGTACCAACTGTCTCAAACACTCCCCACTCAACGAAGCTCCAGACCCTCGGTGTCAAAGACTTCACAAAAAAAAAAAAAAAATCCGTGTTGTGACAATGGTGTCCTTCAAAATGAATGAATGAATGAGTGAACGGACGAACGAATGATAACTGGGCTGGAATTACCGGTGCTGCCTGGTTGTCTGCCTGGCTGCCTCCCCAGGTAAGCAGCGCAGCCAAAGGTAGTTAAGTTAACGCCCGTCTCTCTCATCAGAGGTTCGGGCCGGCAGCTGGGAGAAGCTAGCTCGTTTCCAGCTCCCCGTGGGTTCCTCGGAATTGCGCTGGGGGACTGGCTTGCAGGGAGCCCCCGGCGGCCGGGCCAGGGCTCGAGCTGTCCCTCGCCGGCTCCCTCCCACACGGACACCAAGTTGCAAACCCAACTCCCCCCACACAATGACAAGGAGGCACACAAAAGCAGCCCAGCGACCGCTCCCATCCTTACCTTTGACTTGACTTTCATACTCGGCGATGATCTCTTTGTCCTTCTTGAATCTGCTCGGGGTGGACATTCTCCAGTTCTTCCGGGCTGGCTTTCAGTGGGCAAGTTCAGTCCGGTGGTCAGGCAAGCGGCAAATGGGATCCCCCGCGTCCCAGAGCCCGAGGCGGCGCCGGCAGCAGGGAAGGGAGAGGACGAGGAGGAGGAGGAGGCGGCGGAGAGGAGGAGGAAGGAGAAAGAGGCGCCCAGGAGCGAGCCGAGGACTAGATTAACCCGGGCGCTGGCACCATGCTCTCGCGCTGGAGCCGCCCTCGGTGATCCCCAGGGGTGCCGGGGCTGGCGGCCGGAGAGGCCGGGCGCGCGGTCAAACTCCAGCGAGCGCGTGGCGGGGGGCGTCGCCCTGCCCACCCGAGCCGGAGCCCGGCCACTTCCTCTAGGAGCGCTGGGCGGACGCGGGGTTCGCGCCGGCGCTCCACACCATTGTTAGAGCCCCGCACGGGGCGCCCCGGGGCAGGGCCAGCAGCGGAGGGCGGGCGCTCTCCGACCCTCCCTTCCTGCTTCCAGCCGCCGGCCCCAGCGCTCAAATGGTCCCGCCCGAGCTGGGGATGCTCCGCCGCTTTGCAAACCCGGCTGCCACCGCCCGAGCCGGCGAAGAGAAGGAAGAAAAAAAAAAATGGTAGTCCTGTATACAACGAGTCCTCCGCTGCCGGGCCGCAAGGGTGGCGGTGGCGACGTCCCAAGGAGACCCGGGCGCAACCCCTTGAGGACTTGGGGCTGGGGGTCAGTCTCCGGAGCCGGCGCCGGGAGCGGCCTCTGCCTCCTCCGGGGCCAGCGTGCGCCGAGCGAGGCTGCCTCTTTCTCCTCGTCCGCCTTTCCGCGGCTGCCCCCAGGAGGCCGCCCGTGACAGGCACACGGGCGCACGCACCCGAGGATGCCGCGCCCCCGGCGGCCGCAAAGTTGTCGGCGAGCACTTCGGCCCCGCGGCTCGCGGGCGCCCCGGCGAGCGACGTGCGGGCGGCCGGGGTGGAGGGCGGGCGAGCCGGGCCGGGCCGGAGGGCGGGAGGGAGGCAGGCCCTCGCCCTTCCCCGCCCTCGCCCTTCCCCGCCTCCGCCCGCTCGCCGAGGAAACGCCGGGCTCGTCTGGGAAGACGGATGCCTCCTGTGGCCAACCGCAGCCGGGGGGCCCCCCACGCCGAGTCCCGGAGGCCGTGGCCGGTGCCCCGGGCCCAGGATCTGGGCACCCCCGAAGGCTGGAAACTCTCCGGAACACAGGGCCCGCTTTTGGCCATGGGTGGGCGCTCTCGAGGGGGACTTTTCCAGAATCAAGGGGGAGTAAGGCCACACTTGGAGGTCCCCGTAGTGGGAAGGGGGTTGGTCTCCAAGGTGCTGGTAGGAAAACCGACCAGTGAACCGTGAATGACCGGCGGCTCAGTGCCAGACGAGCCTGAAAGTGTCCCAGCAAGGCCAGGAAAAACACCTAACCGAACATTATCAGCCAGCTTGGCCCAGGGATGTCACCAGCAATCAGACCACTGCCCTGCAAGAGTTTAAGAGGACTTGGGCAACTTTGAGACATCGGTCATTCATCCGTGTATCCACTTTAGGATTCTCACTGTACCCCAAACAGCAAAGACAACTAACTGTAGGGCTTCGGAGACTGGGACTGAGCTCTGAACGAGCTCAGAGTGTGTCAAGAAGTGTGCCCGCGCCATGCAAGGCTTCCCGGCCCCGGGGAAGGAAAAATGAACTGTGCTGCTATGAGAGCCTGGGGCGGGGCGGGAAGAGAGGTGCAGGGAGTTTATACATGGTTGATTTTTAAACTGGGTTCAAAGACTGAAAAGTAGCACCCGGAGTTATAGCTCAGTGACTAAATCCTCACCCTGTGAGCGCCGGGAGCCTGCACCCGCATGGGAGACCTGGAAGAAGCTCCAGGCTCCTGACTGCAGATCAGCTCAGCTCTGGCCATTGCAGCCATTTGGGGAATGACCAGCAGATGATTTTTCTCTTTGTCTCTCCTTCTCTTTGTAAATCTACCTTTCCAATAAGAATGAAGAAAGCCTTATTTTTTAAAAATTGAGCAAGCAATATCACTATGGTAAATTTGGAATAAATTTGTCGCTGAGAGGCCTACCTTTTTGCATAGTTTATAAAACCACTATTTGACACAAGCATCTAATATTACAACCTTGGGACAAGTACTGATTGCTCCTCTTCCAGTCCAACTCCCTGCTAATGTCCATGGGAAGCAGACAGTGATGGTCAATGATTTGGACCCCTGCCCCCAGCTGGAGTCTGTGGCTCCTGGCTTTGGCCAGGCTCAGAACTGGTTGTTGTGGGCCCGGCACGGTGGCTCAGTGACTAAAGTCCTAGCCGTGAATGCTCTGGGATCCCATATGGGCAGTGATTCTAATCCCGGCAGCTCCACTTCCCATGTAGCTCCCTGCTTGTGGCCTGGGAAAGCAGTTGAGGATGGCCCAGAGCCTTGGGTTCCTGCACCTGTGTGAGAGACCTGAAGGAAGTTCCTGGATCCTGGCTTCAGATTGGCGCAGCACTGGCTGTTGTAGTCACTTGGGGAGTGAATCAGCGGACAGAAGATCTTCCTCTCTGTATATCTGACTTTGCAATAAAAAAATAAATTAAAAAAACTGGTTGTTGTGACCATTTAGGAAATGAATCAATGGGGGAAGATCTTTCTCTATTTCTCCCTGTTTCTCCTTCTCTCTGTAAATCTGCTTTTCCAATAAAACTAAATAAATCTCTAAAAAGATATGTACACAATCAAAAATTTGGGGAGGGGGTAAATGGTTTCATTACGTGGCTTTTAAGATTTTATCAAGTCTTTTTTTATTCTATAACAACAAAATGGAATATAAAAGGAGTGATAATCTCCCAATTTTAGTATTTTTCTTTTTTTTGTTTTTTTTTGGGGGGTGGGTAAGACTATTATTTTCATACTGTTTCCTTCATGTATCCGAGGTAAAGGGGGATATTGAGGGAGAAGCCCCACCTGGTTTCCCACCCACCCCAATCTCCCAATTTTGAACAAAAATTTTTTAATGATTTTATCTGTCTTACGGCAAAGGGAGGTTATACTGTACACCCCACAGCCCTTGGGCTCCCCTAGTTTCACCCAGAGGTGCCTTATGTAAGAGAGCACAACGAGGGGCCGGAGTGTCCGGAGGCTGGAGGAAGGTCAGGGAGAGTGGGACAGGCCTGCTGTGCCACGCCAGGCCCTTGGACTCAGTCTGCAGACAGCAGGGAGCCTTTTAACTAGAGAAGGGTCATGCTCAGGTTGTGCTGTATAAACAGGACTGCCAGCAGTGTGGAAGGATGAGCCCGCTGGCTGGGGGTGGGGTTGCGGGAGTGAGCCTCCTGCCACTGCCCTGGGGATACTAATTACAACCTCCATGTTCATGTCTTCAGGAACTTGGAAGGGACACTCTGTGGCTTCTAACTCAACAACTAGAGATATCCTCTTTCCTATCAAGGGGACCCCCTCCCTGCCCTAGAGCTGTGGCCACTGCTGCAATGGTACCAAAAAACACACACTTGATGGTTTAGGGGTCTCCTGCACAGAGTTCCACCCCTCTCCATACAAGCCCTCTTAAACTCATACTCAGCAGCTTTCCACAACGTATTACTTTCTTCTCCAAATCTTGTGGCAGCCCCTTACATCCTGCAAGCAGGCTGTCTCTGTCAACTGAAGAAATTTCCAGTGAGGGTATGTAAACAATCCCCTTCTTATCACTAACCCTGGTCCTGTGTCCCAGACTTCATCTGCTCCACGTTCAGAGCTCTTTTCTCTTGCTCATGCATGTATCTTAGCTAATATTCAAATACATGTAAATATACAAGTAGTCACTCTGTACTGGGTGCCACTCATGACTTAGAGGTACTTTGGCAATAGTGTGGTTTTCTACCCTTGGGGAAAAATAAGATTAAAGTTTCCTGATGTATAAATGCTCTCTAAGAGGCTATCGTACTACCAGTTAGCTATGGTAAAAATCCTTGGCTATACTAAGGAAAACACTGATGAGAAACATATCCCCCTTTGGCTTGAGCAAACAGCTGCAGTAGCTGTCCTTCAAGCCTGGGCTCACCTAGTTGCCCTCTGCCCTGCTCGTGATACTATTGGGCTTAAGAGATCACTGCGGATGGAAAACAACCTGCTCCCTGCACCGGACAACAGGGATGGCTAGCCAACAGATGGTCGCATGACCCTTCTGCTAGTGAACAGTGCTACAAATAAATGGTTGCCTGGTCCTTTCAAATACCATTCTGGCAAGTATTTTCAAACTCATTTATGAATAGATTCATTGAGGCACTGGAAAGGCATTTGGAGGTGATCATGGTTTTAGAAACCTCCTCCCCTCCCGCATTCTTATTTCTGAAGGACATTAAAGATTCTGTCCATAGTACAGCCCTGGAAATCCCATGTGACACTTGCCTTTATCTCCCAGGCCTCTTGATGACCTGCAGTTGGATCTTACCCAGTTACTTTGTCTCATGGTGTAGCCATGTTCTGCTGATGGTTGCTTTGTATTCCCACGGGAGGGAAGCCTGCTCCGGTGTATGAGGCAGGCGACACACTCGCTATGTCTAAACATTATTCCCACTTGTGGTTACTGTTGGAGCTCCACAGGGATGGAAGAACCTGTTTTTCTGAGCAAATTTTTTTGTACATTTTGTGCCCATTGGCCTTTTCTGCAACATTTTCATTGTTCCTCAATTCCAGTCCTCTGGATTGGGAGGGGGAAAAAAAAAAACTAATGGACTAATTAAAACTCAACTTGTTAAATCTGTAGACAACTTTAAGTTCCCTTAGATGAAAGTCCTCCTCATTATCATGATCATTTGAAGTCCACATTGCTTGAAGAACACAAATCATCACCAGCTCTGGCCATTATGGCCACTTGAGGAGTGAGCCAGTAGATGCAAGATCTTGTCTCTGTAACCCCTTTCTTTGCAAGTCTGCTTTTCCAATAAAAATCAATAAATCCAGTTAAAATGAAATATATCCTTAAAGGAAATTTTAAAAACTGAATTGATCTATTGATCAGTCCTTCAGTATCCTCTCCAAGAAACCAGAGGGATCTGAGCAGGATATCCCTCTGACCACTAGGGACTACCACAAAAAGTCCTGAGCCAAACGGGGCCACGCAAGAGGAAGTTAACAGCAGTGCCTGCCTTTT